CACTTCAAATTTTATTTTAAAATGGCAAAAAGCATGACTTTTGATTTTTATTCTCATTCTTCAAAGAGCAGTACAGGTTTCCCAAAATTTACTATTTTAAAAAATGATATGCAAAAGATATTAAGAAGTGCTACCATAAGATTTTTTTTCAAAACTTGTAGTCCAAACTATCATATTGCAAATTGATTTCTAGGTCTCTGTATAATCCAATTATTTTATATTTTTAGTTTCTAAATCTTTATATGCCACAAAACCCAAACACAAGCTTCCACACATTTGCTCTGCATTTCCTCTGTCCATGCTGGGTTAGCGGAAGCATCAGCTGTTAGTGTGGCAAGACAGGAGGGCCCTGCATAGGATACCCACATGACCATATGGAGAGAGTTCCACTTTAACATTAAAGCCATGACAGACAAAAGTCTTATGACACTCTCTGAAATGTGAACTTTTCAGGCATGTGAAAAAAATATATGCAGAAAATATCCATGAAGTTGCCACCTTAAGACTTGCTTTCTCGGGCCCATTGTACCAGTTTTAAGAATCACTTCTGACAGACTTTAATTCTACCAATTCAGTACAAAAGCATGTTAATATCACACCCTTCGAACAGGCTATGCCACCTGGATTTAGCTTAAATAAGAACTGTCAGACTCCACGTTCACGAATTTAAGCAGAGGCTCTGTAGCACTATGAAGCTAAGCATAACATTCTCAGAGTCCCCATTTCAGAAATTACACTTTCAAATGCCTCCCAAGATAATTAATGTCAATCAAGACGGGTCAAAAGAGGCACAACTCCTAGGCTTTTATTTTTCAATACATAAAGTACGTGTGCCTGTTTTCAGAAAAATGGGAGAAAAAGATCTTCTTCAAAAGATGCTTTCGAACCACTCAATATCATCAGTGTTAATTCCGACTAAAAAGGAAAAAGAAGCACCTTAAGCTAATATTGCAGTTGCATGCCCTATCTCCGCCCACCACCCACTCCACAGAGCACACCCTCCACATAGCACTCACTGTTACACTGGTCACAAGCGTAGATTCTCCCTTCCAGGGCCTCTGTCTCTGTGAACTTGGCCAGCATCTCAGTGAGCAGGCACTCTGTCTGATTCAAAGGGACAAACCCCTTTTCTATGCAGTGATAGCGTTCGGGGAATTCTAGGGACAGATCCCAAAAGGGCTCAATGGTATTGGATTTGTAATTGCATGATATACATGTGACCTAGAATGAAAAGATTAATTTACAGATTATATAACTTCCATGCTTCCCACATACATTTTTGCTTGCTTTATACAAAACATATAACTTTACCAAAACTAAGTATAATTTTTTTAAAAATTCTAATATTAAAATAATAAACATAACTTTAAAAGAATTAGAGTATATTAGTTCTGATATACATTTCTAAACATGTGATGGTAGCTGGAATTCACAAACCACACTGCACAGAGATTATACCTACCCCCTTTTCTCTTGTATCCCAAAGTACACTCTATCGTTCAATGCTGCGGTAGTACAGACTGCAAGTTATCGTGCAATCATTCAAGGAACCACTCTGAGACAGAGAATCTGCAAGTCCCTGTCTGCTTCTCTCACCCTGGCATTCTTCCTCTTGACTTCGATCCTTCCACAGAGTCCAAGCTGTCTGTCTTTTTGTCCTTTCTTGAAGCAGCCTACACCAATCCCCTCCATCTGTAGAGCCTCAAAGTACTGTGATTAAACCTACTCTCCCCCTATAACCTAACCAGAAGCACCTTTCTTCCTAAGAGGACAGAGGCTAGAGGAAATGCTGATAAATACTCCCCTTTCACATGCTGAAAAACAAAAGCCTAAATAAGCTCTCTCTTTTCATCCCACTCACCATTCTTTCAAAACCCTAAAAACCAAGACACAAAACCTCAGTAGCACAGTATAAAGGTTTAACCTCAATCTCTTAAGTTGCCTGCCTCCCCTTTTTTTAACCATAAAAATTTTCTTTCTGCATATTCTCACAAGGCCTTAGCTATGTATCTTTGCTTAGGTCCTTACGTGGCTAAAGATTCGGAAAATGAAAAGTAATGGGGAACAGGGAGGAGGCCTTTGGCGTGCCCCAGCCACCTGCTTTCCTTGTATGCAAAGGAGGAAGAAAGCTCTTTCAAACTACCATGGAACTCTGTTCAGTTTCCTAAAACTGATCAAAGGATGGCATACCAACAACGGGTACTTAATTATAACAATGAGAGTATGATATTACCCATATCTTCATTAACGGTTAAAGACATTCACTGAAACTAAAGCGATGTGGCAAGTTAAACTAAAAATCTAGCTAGAAGGAGAAGCAGGCAAGTAGGCAAGTTCACCAACAAGGCCATCACAATGTACAGGACAATGAAAGGTACGATGGCCACCCTAGAAAATGCATAATCACAGCGATTGTTAGCTATCCTATTTAGCGCAATAATCCGGGGCAGGCATTCATAGGAAGCTCAAACTAACATACAAGCCTCCCTCCGTTGTGCTGGGCAGAGTTGGGGTTAGGGTGGGCACACACCTACCTGACTGAGCAGCTGCCCATGAAATATGGTATTCACCACCTTTAAGACCTGTTTGGTGAGCTTTCTCTGGGAGAAGGGGATGAGGATGCGGCGCGTGGTGCCCTCTGACTCGAGTTCCTGCTGCACTTTGTGCAGCAGCTCGCAGAGAAATTCCTGCGCATCCTGCTGGTCGTAGCCACGGAAGGCAGGGATGAGGCTCCACACAGAGTGAAGCATGGCGAAGGGAGACACCAGGGCCCACTTCCCAGACCACATGACTCGGAAGAGGGTGTGTAGTTCGCGGCAGAGGGAAATGTGCTTCGAGCTCGGCTCCTTGTTCTGGATGAGCTCCAGGCTCCGGCTGATGGAGGCCCCGCCATTCCAGCAGAGGCCCTCCCGCTCGCACGCCTCGGCCCTGTCGCTCCTCGAAGACAGCTCGGTGGCCGAGCTGCCGGCCGGCCTGCTAGAGAGCTGAGCCTTCCCGTTGGTGGCTTTGGGAAACAGATGTTCCGTTTTGGAAGGGTCAAGGTTCAGGAAACATTCTCGGAACTTCTGGAGGTGGCTTAGCACCTGGAGGATGGAGTTCATGTAGCAGGTGTTGCCCAGATTGCGCAGGCCAGTGACGCCCGGGGCCACGGCCAGCTGGCGGCGCGGCTTGAGGGAGGCGGCGGACGCTCGGCGTGAGGTAGGCAGGGCGGCCGGGCCCGCGTCGCGGGGCGCGTGCAGGAGCAGCCGCGCGCTCTTGCGCGGAGGGGCGCTGGCCAGCTCCTCCAGCAGCCGCCGCTTCACTTCGCGTCGCCGCTGCCGCGCTTCCTCCTTCTTGCGCTCCAGCGCCTCCTCCTGCCGCCGCTGCTCCAGCTTCGCCTGGCCCCGGGAGCTCTTCTCGAACCACAGCCGCAGCGTCTTGGCCAGCAGGCGCTGGCGCCGGTACCACAGAGCCGTGAGCATCTGCGGCTGTCCCTGAGGAGCGCGCTGCAGCGGGACCACGTCCTCGCCCGAAGCCATGGACCGCAGCGTCCGCCCGCGTCTCACGGGCTGGTCCTGCTTCTGGCCCCGGACTGCCAGGAGGGAGCTTCTGAGCAGCTTCAGGTCCCCCTCCGGATTATCATTGAGCACGTAGTCCTTGCACAGGTAACAGAACACGTAGAGATCCCGGACTTCCATGGCTAGCGGGTGTCCACTCTCCTCGAAGTGTTTCAGTGCGTGGTCCTCAATGTAGCGGCCACAGGCCACGTGGGAGCACTTGAGGCAAGCCCACACCGACTCGGTGGTGGCGCACTCCACGCAGCACCACTTCTGAGGGTTCAGGATGGAGTGGTCCTGGGCGAGCCGTAACCGCCCTACATGTTTGCATCTATCCATGTCTCACAGAAGTCGCCACTCTCTTAACCTGGCACGATAGAGCCCCCAAAAAGAAAAGAAAAAAAAAATACTGTCAGCAAAATATTTTCCTTTAAAGAGCCTTGCAGTTAGTGTTTCAACTCAAGACTCATTAGTTTTCAATTCAAAATTGGGTCCTTTGAAAGTTTCTTCTTTTTTTTTTTGAGACAGAGTCTCGCTTTGTTGCCCGGGCTAGAGTGCCGTGGCATTAGCCTAGCTCACAGCAACCTCAAACTCCTGGGCTCAAGCGATCCTTCTGCCTCAGCCTCCCGAGTAGCTGGGACTACA